TTCTCTGTAATTCTGCAGATTTTAGGTGATCTTTGTGAGACAAGGACCATGTGCTCCCTTTTTAAAATAAAACATTGAAATTTTATTCCCATAGACTTTAAAGCTGAACACACGATCTTGTTTTTATTTTTGCGATAGTGAAATTTAACAAAGAAATAATTTTTTATTTATATAAACAAAGTGTATAATTTGTTTATTTACAAGAAAAATAAAGAATATGTAAAAGATTAAATTAGCAGTCTAAATTAATTTTCTGTTTCTATTCTGTTAGCAATTTCCACAGTCTACCGCCAGATGGCATCATGATATTAAAAGATATTCAAAGCATTTGTAACTAAAAAAACAAACGAGAGATAAGGAATGTAACGACAGTGGCAGACTATATTTATTACTCATGCACTTTTTAAAAGAGGAGTAGAATAAAGTATTATAATGATGTTGGTTGTGAATTTCTGTCCTGTTAAATAATAATGCAAAATCAAAAAGATATGCATAGTGGATGTAACAGAAAAATCCTGACGCTAACAATTTCAGAAATGGGATGTCGATTGCCGATGTCGATATCAATGTAGAGTGACTGAAAGCCATTGAAGGTCTGATGATGTAAGGAAAAATCCTGACACCAACAATTCTAAAAACGGTAATCTCTCTGCACTGCATAATTTCGATATTAATCCATGTCATATCACTCATACACAATTCTGATGATGTAAATGGAACTAAAACAGCCAACAGTAATTTTACATTAGCATTAATTATCCAATCAAAATGCATTGTGAACTAAAACTCAGTCTGAAATCAGATTTCACCCTGAGCATAACGCACTTGCTTTCTATGCTTTGGCCCAGCTGGACTGCAATCTATATGCTTCTTCTTTCTTACTGCAAATTTATCAAAAATGTAAACTTTTGGAAGAGGCATAAATAATGTGCCAACTTGTTTGTGGCCACAACATGTTTGCTGAAAAAAAAGTTGAATTAAACGTACCTCGACTGCCAATTTCTTATTCATTGTGGATTGGAGTTTCAAAATCTGTTAAGCCATCAAAATTCTTGCTGTTTATTATGGATTCAACTGCCTGCATTCTATTAAATATATATATATATATACAGTCAAAAGTCTTTAATCCAGACGTCCATAATCCGGACCTCAAAGCTTCTAATTGGATCCGGCTTATTTTTTATCATTAGCTACTTTATTAACTACTTTTTGCAGACTGTTAGAACAATTTTATAAAAGTAAGCTTGAACTTTCTATTATGTCAAAGTAAATTTCCGATTCTGGAGCTACCAAAGGATCTACAAAGTGAAAGCATGTTTCGATGTCCATCAAACAAAAAGTGGAATTGCTGCAAAAAATGGATGAAGGCATATCCTTTGATTCTCTAATCATTCCGAAATATGTTTATCAATTTCACGCTGCTCTGCAGGGGGGGGGGATGACGTAGCGCGCAATGAACTGGAAGTTGATCTGTCAGCACTATCCATATCTTCAGGGAAGATGTTTTTATTTTATTCGGCTTATAATTCCTTACTAAATGTAGTATTTCATCTCGATGTACTCCGTCTTTGATATGATTTAAATCAAATTCATCGCCATTATAAATTTCACGAATGTACATCAAAAAGTTTTCTGGTTGCAATTTTCTAATTTCGACTATGTGTAATGTATGCTTTACGCATGTGTGAGTTGAAAGAAATGTTTAATAAAGTAAACAAATAAATATAAAGCTCTTTTTTTTGTAAATTTTGTACCTTTAGATCATAATTGTTCTTTATACATAAATTAAGGTTTCATATTTTTTAATTTTATTATTTCTGCATGCCATCTTACCAGATTTAAACTAATGATCTATAATCCGGAAAAACCGATAATCCAGAATTGCCAAAGTTTCGATGAGTCCGGATTAAAGACTTTTGACTGTGTATATATATATATAGAGAGAGAGAGAGAGAGAGAGAGAAATATGTTATACACTTTGTATATGTGGCTTTTCACTCAAAATTTCTAGGGAATTTTGTATTAGCAAAAATGCTTCATTCAGAATGAGTTCTTTGGTACTCTGGTTTGGCTATAAATCCTATCACTTCGCGGAGCTACGGTTTTGGCTTGCCTTGGTTTGCATTTTTGGCATCATCATCCTTATTTGAGTAAAAGACGAAACACCTTCGCATTTATTAATTATTGTTCATTGAATGGGAGTTGGTTTGTTCCCCTTGAAAAGTCAACTAATTTCCGAACAATAGCGATAATTATGTGTTTTCTTAATTTTTTAACTTCTTTTTCAAAGTTTGAAAATTTGTTATTCATGATTTAAATTCAAGTCCCCTTAAAAAGATTTTTCATGATTTACATTCAAGTTCCTTTAAAAAACAATTTTCGGAATTAAACTTCCTACTTACGGGTTCCCTCAAATTGATATTAGGAGATAATATAATCAATATTTCTTTATTAAATTACATATATATAATATATACATATCAACAGAAAATTAATAATTAAATACACTCCTGCTCAAAAAATAAGCAACAAAGGCAAAATACAGAATAAAACAAAAACTATGTAATGGATATGGATGAAATTGATCTGAGAGGTTGGTGTGTCATTATTAGACCACATAGCAAACGATAAAGCAAAGGGATAAAAAAACACATATTATGACCATCAAATCACGAAAGATCAAATGTGTTAGAAGATGTTCAATAGAAATATCACTAATAACGAGTATGATAGCATCTAACTGAAATGCATGCTTGATAATGATAAGGCAAGCTGGCAATAGTATCGTTGATCGCTTTTTGTGGCAGTAGCCTTTGTTCCTCCAGTAATGCATGTTGGAGCTCATGGATGGTGCTTGGTGGCGCACTGTGACCTGATATCTGTTGTTCCAACATGTTCCACGCATGCTGTATGGAATTCAGATCTGATGATCTAGCAGGCATGGCAGGTGTGGAATGGTTTCACTCTCCAGATAACTCTGCACCAATCGAGCTTAATGCAGGTAGGCATTATTATCCATAAATATTGCATCAATACCCATTGCAGTAATAAAAAGATGTATAAGAGGGTGTAGAATTTCGCCATGATATTGGATGGCTGTGGCAGAACACTAGGAGCCATGTAGAGGTCAGTATGGCTGTTTGTTGTTAACTCAGCCCATGCAAGTAAGCCTCCTCTTTTGTAATGATCTCTTTAGTGGATGCCTGGCACCCAATAGCGTATCCCTGGGTCTCACCATATCATTGCCCTTTGGGAATCGCTCTGGATGTTAAATTGAGACTTATCCATAAAGAGTATGTGGCCTTGCTGCTCTGGTGTCCACCTGCATTGTTCATGGCCCAGTTCAATTATGTTTTGACATGCAATGGGGACAGAGGAACACAAACTATAAGTCGTCAGCATACAGTCTGCATTCGTGCAGTCAACAAGGCACAGTTTGATGGGATATGGGGCGTCCTGGAGCAGCAGAGAGATGCAAAACCAGCTGTCATGCTGTTAATGATCTATGGTGTCTTGCACATAGCAACAGGAAGCAATCATTTGACATTGTGGCAATCCTCCTGTATCCAGATCCATGTCTTATACAGGGGTTTTAATCCCTGTGGTAATGATTCCACAGTCTATTGCTGACACTACAATGCACATTCAGCTCTCTCACAACAGTGGATTGTCTTGCACTAATTTGCAACATCCTGACAGTCCTTCAACACATTTTGTTGTGCAAATAATATCTTTGGCTTATGCTTTCTCTATTCAAATTACATGAAACTATTGCTGTTTGCGATCTGATGCATAGATACGGCATGCCCCTTTTTAAGACGTTGTCACGTGACTGCAGGATTGCATTTTATGCTAACTTTGGTTGTCCATTTACATTCGGTGATGAACCTCTACCTCATATATAAATTGTATGCTTTAATTCCCCCTCTTACATTCATACCTTTTCTTTTAGCATTTTTTTGCTTATTATTATTATTTTTTTTTGGTCACAAGATTGCATGTATATATGCCCAAAACTATATATCTATATTATACTTGGTCACCCAGATGGTATAATAGTTAGAGGAGCCGACTGCAATACCAAAGGACCCCAGTTCGAATACAGGGAAAGGCATGGTTGTGACTGTCCATCCCTTCATAGGAGGCAAAGTTGGCCCACCTATTAGATGCCTCCATAACAAAGTGACTACCACTTCTGGCCTTAGTAGTGGCTGATGTCTATGATGACTTGTACCTACCCACTGGGGGGAATATATATATATATAATCTTATATTCCCCGAAAACTGTAAGCCAGTTGACATGTTTTGCATATACACCTAATTTAATATTTTCCTCAAAAATAAGTGCTTTCCTAATTTTCTTTTTGTGTTATTTAAATCAGTAAAATATTTGAAAAATCAGGCGTAAATTCATCATAAGCTTAATTTATTACACTTTATAAGAAGTGATCCAGATTTCTAAAGTCAACTTAATTGGAGTTCACCAGCCAGTGGCTGGGTGGCAAAGTCTCTGAACGTATGAACAAGCGGGTCGCATTAGCGTTTTTATTGTTCTTCCCATGTTTAATATGGATACGAGCCAGTTTCCCTCAAAAAGTCCTCTATAAAGCGATCCCTTCCCTTAGATAGATAGACTTTATGTGTTTTGCCAACTAAACCAAACCAAACTATAATTGTACTTCTACTGTGTTAAAAATGTACCTTTTTTGAATTCCCCCCATAAGGAATAATATTTGTTATTAACGTTAATATTAAGGATTTTTATAGAATTCTGAAATGGCTAATAATTCATCCAAATTTTGATGGTTTTACATAAATATTAGAAGTGGTTACATTATTAATATATGTTTTTTATATCATTAATTTGGTAATCCATCATGATGCATTGTGAGGTTTTCAGAAACTGTTATTATATATATGCTATCAAAAGTTCTTAGTCAAGTATTTATATAATGAAAAGTATATTTGGAATAAGTTACTAAAAAACTTTCTTTTCCCAGAGCATGTTTAATAGCAACAATACAATCATCAGGAACTTCACAATCCATTATTAAATTAGTATCAACAAATCTTATTGCAAGTGGACGCATATCAGAAGGTGTGCAATTACTTTGTTTAATAGAAAAGGCTTCAGATGGTTGTCGCTATCTTCAAGGAGCAGGGCGTTGGGATGAAGCAATCTGGCTAGCAAAGGTGTGTTTTAATTTATAATTACTAGCTCTAAAATGAAAACATTGAATTGATTGTTTTAAATTACAGTAAAATATCTGTAAACAGGCATGAAAATTTTTGGCTTTTATATAAATATGCAACTGAATTTCATTTAATTTGTTCCCGATATCTGTTAGAGATTTTCAGTTGTAGGTGGAAAAACAAATTGTTTATCTCTATACATGGTGAAATAGTAATAATATTGAATACAGAGGCTCTTTGCACATTTTTTAGACGATTTTGCTTTGCTATATTATTAAAAAAAAATTTCCTGCTTGGAAATTTATTTAACTGCATCTATATTTTTGAAAGTATAAACTACCATCTGTTACTGCAGAGTGTTTCATTCAAGCCTTACGTAGATTTTTTGCACGTAGGGGTATTTGTAGAGTTATATATTCTGATAATGCTAAAACCTTTAAAACTGCTGATTGTGAATTAAAATATTTGTATAAATTATGTAAAGATGAAAAGGTTCTAAATTTCCTTGGTAAAAATGGGTTTGAATGGAAATTTATTGTAGAAGGTGCTCCTTGGTGGGGCGGATTCTGGGAACGTTTGGTAAGATCTTTAAAAACTTGTTTAAAACGTATCCTAGGTAAAGCTTCTTTATATTATGAAGAACTGTATACTGTCTTAGTTGAAGTTGAAGCTGTTATTAATTCTAGACCTATAAAGTATGTATACAATGAACCAAATGAACCTGATCCTCTTTCACCATCTCATTTTATAACTGGATCTAGATTAACTGTTTTACCTTCACCTGAATATAAACTAGAATCTACAAGATCTCAGTTGATTAAAAAATGGAAGCATAGGCAATTAATATTAGAGCATTTTTGGAAAAGGTTTTATAAAGAATATTTGTTAGAATTAAGATAAGTCATGTTTTCAAAAACTCCAAAGAATTCTCCCGTGTTTAAAATTAATGATGTTGTACTTGTACGAGAAGATAATGTGAAACGCTGTAACTGGAAGATAGGTAGGATTAAGGAATTATTTCACGGAAGAGGTGATAGAATTAGATCTTGTGATATTCAGTTAGATAAGGGTGTTGTTAGAAGACCAAATGAAAGACTTTATAATCTTGAAGTTCAATAAAATTGATGCATCCGTTTACGGATGCATGGGGGGGGGAGTGTTAAGTTTAGGATTGTGTATCCATAGATCGCCAATAGATGGCGGTAGTGTTTGTAAAAAGAAACTGTGATGTCAATTATGTATATGTATTCTGTTCGTCTTTGGTGTTCGTGAATAAATGTTGTGTGGTATAACGCTCCTCTGTTTATTACTTTAACTGCGATCCAGTCTGATTTATTAGAGATTACACTATTTTGTTTAGTTACTTCACCATTTTTTTTCCATGCAAAATGTTGCTTTTAACGAAGCAGTGGATGGAAGGCTATATTTGGGTTCCTTTTGAAAAAAATTATTCGTATCTAGGTACTAAAAAACATTGTGAAAGCCATGGTTTATCGATATCTAAAGCCATGATAGGTAATGTCGTCAATAACAAAAAAAAAAAAAAAAAAAAAAAAAAAAAAAAGAAAGAGTCAAAATTTAGCCTCAAATGGAAAAATTGTTCCAAATACGTATCCAAGGAAAAAACAAAATGTTTTGAATGTTGCAAAGATAAGGTCTTAGATGTTAAAAGAAAAATCTTTCAAGTCAAAGGGCAATTACAAAATAGTTAAAATGCTCAATGTCAACTGTAAAAAAATGGTTAATGCTGATTTGAATCTTAAAAAGGCGAAAAAACATAATGTGCATCATCTTTCTCTATGACACTGCCGAGTGCAGAATGTGCTGAAGAATTCTTCATGAAAAACATTTATCCGGACAAAAATGTTGTCACAATAGACAAATCTTGGGTCTGCAATAAAAAGAGATTCATTTATTATCATCAAAGAGAAGAAGAAAATCTTAACACATGGTTCAACAAATCTAAAGAAAGTATGATTGTTGCTGGTTTTTCATATAACAAACAAGCAAACAAACAAATATATATATATATATATATATAATAATAGAATTAGTTCTGTAGAATAATAGAAATTAGCTCTTAGAATTTAAATGATATTGTAAATTAGCTTGCAGCAATAATTAATTTTTTATTTTTGCAATTAAAATTTCTTATTAAATTAAAATTATATTAGCTTTATACAAATAGAAAATATTTGTTATATATTCAAATTTCATTCCTTTGCAGCAATGGTGCAGAGAATTATAAAATTTAATTTAACTTTACTATAGTCTTGTGAAACAATATATATATATATATAAAGAGAAAGAAAAAAAAAAGAAATATAATAAAGGGAGTGGAGAAAAATGTTAAGATCAACTCGACATATTATCAGAAACATATTTTATGCCCAGTTTTGAAATATGAAATACATTCTCCTTTAAACACAGTGTGATTGATCTGTAGAACTGATCAAGACAAAGCAAGAAGCAACACGTCAAAATCTACTGTTAATTTCCTGGAAAAATGGAACAAGAAATGGGTATCAAGGCCATACCCTTCACTCATATCCCTACTAAATCTTCTGATCTATTACCGATCAGGAGGTGCATTTTTGGACTTTTAAAAGGTGAGTTATCCAAATGTCGATCCACAACCTCCCTCTCCTCCTGTTTGAGAATAATGGGATAAAATACTTCTTCTGATACTATAAAAGGCTTTATTTTTATTGTCTTGGAAATTACAGTGTATAAAGATAGTGAAGAATAAGGGTTATCAAATGGAACATTTAAAACATAAAAATTTTAGGCAAAATATTTTTGTAATTACAATGAAAATTATCTAGAAAATGTGCAAAAAGCCTTTGTATAGGGAGTTTAATACTTATATGTAATATGAACAAAGCAGTCATACAAACACATCTAGAAATTCAATTCCTCCTATCTTATATGTGTGTGCATAGATGGATTAAGTACACAATACTATGTATGAAGTCTTGTGTTCTTTTAATTGATGATTTTTATATTATGTATCAGTTACAGAATTAAAAATGGCATGACTTCGCTTGTACTATTAAAAAGAGAGATTAATAAGCAATTAAATTATTTTATGTTTCAAATAAATATTGCAGACTAGAGATTTTATTTTGTTATTTTTGCAGTCATTTTTAAAATTGTTACTTATACAGTCAAAAGTCGTTAATCCGGACTCATCGGGACTTTGGCGATTCCGGATTATAGATCGTCAGTTTAAATCTCGTAAGATGGCATGCAGAAATTCTAAAATTAAAAATATGAAACCATAATTTATGAAATAAAGAACAGTTATGATCTAAAGGGTATCAAAATTTACAAAAAAAAAAAAAAAAAAAAAAAAAAAAAAAAAAAAAAAAGAAAAGAAAAGAAAAAGCTTAATATTTATTTGTTTACTTTATTAAGCATTTCTTTCAATGTAAGTTGTTTAAGTTGCTTCATTTTATGTGATAATACTTTCTCTTTAATTCTATAAAAAGACATAGTTTCTTGTTCAGTTACAAAGTTCTGCTGTTCAAGTCCCGTTAATTGCTGTGCCGAGAATACCGACTAACTCGTCAATCGAAATTTTTTCGTTTTCACTAACCTCTCTGTCACATTCTTCATGTCTTTATCCATTTTTTGCAGCAATTCCATTTTTTGTTTGTTGGACATCGAAACATACTTTCGTTTTGTAGATCCTTTGGAAGTTCCAGCATCGGAAATTCTATTTGACATAATCGAAAGTTCAAGTTTACTTTTATAAAATTGCTCTTACAGTCTGCAAAAAATAATAAGCGGGATCCAATTCGAAGATTAATCAACAATGCAATCATTAACATTAACTGAAATAGATAATTAGATAATTTGAGCTTACACCGTCCGTTGTACATTAAACGCGCAGGCAAAAACGTATTCTGCACTTGCGCACACGCATATGCGCAGTAGTCAAGGTCTTACGCGCACGTGTAAAACGCCTGTAGGCATGTGCCGACGCGGCGCATGCGCAGAAAGTTTTTAGCTTTAAGGTCCGGATTATAGATCATTCCGGATTATGGGTGTCCGAATTAACGACTTTTAACTGTAGTTTTTTTGGTGGGGTGCTTGGGTTAAGAAAGTCTTATTTTTACAAATATGTATGTATATATATATATATATATATTTCACAAAGAAAGTGAGTCATTGTTCAAAATTATAATAAATAATTCTTGTTGTTACTTACTTCAAGATGGTAAAAAATATTTTCATTTCATATCTTGCATTAGCAGAAAATATTTTTCTATTTTTACCTGATGATTTTGATGTATTTTCCTTAGTTTTGAAGTAATCAGCCCATTCCTTACACTGCTGCATACCCTGTATAAAAATTATATTTTCTTAGAGTCTCAAAACCTCCTTATTTAAATTGTATTTATTCATTTTAAATCTGGAACAGTAATGTGTAATAAATATTCATTAATTAAATCATTAATAATTTAATTCATTAATTAAATCATTTCACATTGCTAAAATAGCTTAAAATATGATCCTTTTTTAATCATGGCATTTGATATTTTTTTTTCAGATTTGTGATGTAATTTTGCTTATATTTTTACAATTTGTGCTATATATTTTGCATTTTAATATTCATCTTAAATTTTTATTTTGTTTTATTTGTTGCATACATTTGCTTAAATTTTTAGGCTACATTGTCAGAGAAAGAAAGTCAAGAGATCTTAAAAAGATGGGTTGATTATTTGTGTTCTACTGTGATGGATCAAAAGGTAAACTACATTTCTCTGCATTTGTTTCAGGTTGTGCTTACATTACTGCTATTTAGTATAAATAAAACAAAATGTATGTTCTAATTTAGGATGTGTTTTTAAGTGCTAATGCTCAACATACTGAAATTAATGATTGTCCAAATTGAATAAATTAAATTTTTTATGCATATAAAATACCAATATGCTTTTATATTAAGTGATCTTTTTAAAATTTTATAACTTGAATTTATGAAAAATTTGCTGAAAAACTTGCAAATATATGATAATATCTGTGAGAGGCTGAAAAAGAGAGACATAAAAAACCCATTTACAACAGCAGATTCAACTGGCGGTGAAAATCGGTTCTTCCAACATATCCCATTCACATTGCAAACAAGCATTAACTGCTTCTCAAAATTGCAAGTGCAATTTGCTAGAATGTTCCTACCTCTCTGGAGTAGGGCAAATCGGGAGATTTCCCATAGTGCACTGCGTGATTGCATGGTTTACTTAATTTTAGTAAACAACATGGCTGACGTGCAACTGATTGCTCGCTGGACTGTCAGTGAAACAATCGCATTGATAGATATTATACACTAATCTTAGCCATTGATGCCTGGGAATGTGATAGCATCTTCCCAAAAATTAGATGGAACTGTACAAGATATGGAAATTTATAAACAAGTACAGAGAAGATTATCTGATGCTGGGTATTCCAGAAATACTGTTCAAATTAAAACTAAAGTTAAGGCACTCAGATGCGTGTATTGGCTTCAACACAACAAAGGGCTTGGTACCTTTTGAATGATTTTTTTTTTTTTTAAATTTAAGAACTTTCATCTACTCTTTATGAATATTATTAAATCGTTTTGTAAGACAAAATGATTTTAAGGTGAAAAAAAATTTTTTTTTGCCAGTAATTTTTTTGAAGAAAAATTTAATAGTTAAGATGTCTTTCTTCTACAATTTTCACTACTACCCCTCTATATTTTTTATTATATTTATTAGAGTGTTCTTAATAACTTCAAGAATCGATTTTGAAATCAATGAATTAGTTTCTGAGAAAAAAAATAACACATTTTTATGTAAAATCGTTGAAACAAATATGATTTCAGTCACATTTTCATTTCAAATAAATTTTCTTTTCAGTATTTTGAAAAACCCATCCTTGTTTCTATAAAGTAAATAATTTTAAACAAGCAGTAAAAATATTAAATAATTTAGTCCATACCTGCATATGTTTTAGGACTTTAAGTGAAAGGATTTATCAAAAAAATGCAACCTGAGAAAACAGAGTTTAAAGAATACAAACAGTCTAAATGATGATTAAATCATTTCAAATTGCTTAAAAATTTTATTACTTACTTTCAATATATATATATAGTGCTATTTATTCAATTGATTAATATAATCATAAATTATAAGCCTTTATTTAAAACCTGATCTGGACAAAAAAATTGCAAAAATGTCATAAAACGCAAGTAAACATTTTTTTTTTTACCTGTGCTTGTTTTGTAAAACACGTTCAAAATAATTTTAATACATGAATTATAATGTTGTGTGCATACGTGTTCGTAATAGGTTGATAATAACTCATAAATGTTTGCCATTGCACACAGGTCTGATAATAGCTTAATTACATTTATTTTATCAACAGAAACACTTCAAAATTCTGGATTTTCCACAGAAATACTCGTACAGGTGTTTAGAGTATCAAACTTCAAATTACTAAGAACTTTAAACACAACATAACACAAAGTATATCTTAAGAGATGTTAAGGAATATTATTTGATATCGCCAAGAGATGGCATTAGGAGTCCATCTATTGGCTTACTTAACCCTTCCCCTTCTGAACACATGACTTGGAAAAATATTCTTCTTGTTGAAGGTAGAATTTCGATGCACTATGCAATAGAATTCGATTTAGATGGAACTATTCAGTTCTTGCTTTTTGAGCCTTAATATTTGTTTCAGGCATTTTAGCCTACATTGTATATATGTAAATATTAAGTTTAATTAAAATTTATATAAAACCTACCAGGCCATGCATCTCATTTTGGATTATGAGTGATTCGGAATTTGATCTAGAATACTTTCCGTTTCAAATGGTGCATCCGCCTACGGGAAAGAATCTGATTAATTTGAAATTTTGTGTTTTTTTCGCCTTTTGGATTAGCTTTTTTTGTAAGCGAAGACTTTCTCACAGTAAGTCTCCTTTTGATAATTTATTAAAATGGAACAGAAGACACTAAAGAAGAAGAATCGAGCACATATACGTGCTTCTGTAACTCAAATTATTAAAAATGTAGATGAGTATTTAAAAGAAGAAAAACAAAAAGAGTTAGAAAATTATTTGGAATTGTTAAATAGTAAAGAAACGGAACTACAAGATTTAAATGAAAAAATACATAATTTAATTGAAGATGAATCAAAATTAGATTCAGATATTAACACTTCTATGGAATATAATGATAAAATAATAATATCAAAGTCTAAAATCAGCTGCTATTTAAGGAAATACAATATTCAAAATGTCAACTTCGTATTTAAATAATTCATCTACAGAAGTTGAAACCGAAAGACATTGAAAGTAATGTGAAATTGCCCAAAATGTTAATTCACAAATTTTCCGGAGACTATAACGATTGGATGAATTTTTGGAATTCATTCAAGGTCATGAATGACAATGTTACACTTTCAAAGATTGAAAAAATTAATTATTTGAGAACTTATTTATGTGGAAACCCAGCATCAGCCGTAGAAGGTCTCTCAATCTCAGAGGCTAATTATGACTCTGCTATAGACATTCTTAAAAACAGAATCAGTCAAAGTGACCTTATTATCAATACACACATTTCTAATTTCTTAAATTTAAATCCCGTTCAAAATTCAAGTGAAGTGGCAAAACTGCGAAAACTTTATGATACAATAAACATTAAAGTCAGAAGCCTTTTAGCATTCGGTGTGAAACCAGAAACATATTCCAACATGTTTATTCCAATTTTGATGAAAATTGTCCGGAACGATATATCTTTAGAATTTCACCGTAAAAATGCTGGAAATCATTCAACCTATGATTTAAACAAATTTCTAGACTTTCTCCGATTAGAAATAGAATCGCGAGAAAGAATTAATTCCTTATCCTTTCCACGCAAGTCAGAACTGGAAATGAAAGTATTAACAGATATCCACCGACGGCATAACATAAACAAACAGTCACCACACATGAATTTATGGCAGCCGCGTCATCAAATCGAAACTGCATTTTTTGTTTTCAAAACCATGACTCAGAGTCCTGTTTATGCTTTGCAGTTAATGAGAAGAGAGATATTTTGAAGAACCAAGTGCGTTGTTTTCTTTGTCTCGCCCCTAAGCACAAAATCTCACAATGCCGGCAACTTCAAACTAAAGTTTGTAAAATTTGCAAAGGTAAACATTCAGAAGCCATATGTTTTAAATCCAGTTCGATAGTTAAAAATACACCAAGTGATAAAAAGGATAGTATATCAATTTCGAGAAATGATACACAAACTAAGGAACAGAAAGAAGAAATTGTTTCGGCCGTTTCGCATAGTGTAAATAACACAATTCTTTTACAGACTTGCACGATAAAAGTTAAAACAGCTAAGGAAAAGGTGTTTGACAGACTTCTCTTGGATAGTGGAAGTATGAAAAGTTTTTGTGCTCGCGAGTTAGCGGGCAGATTAAACCTCAAAATCATAAGAAAAGAAAAATTGACTGTCTACTCTTTTGGGAATACTTCACCCATCCAAAAAAATTATGACGTAGCTTAATTAACTTTAGAACATAGAAGTTCTCCCGATTCTAAGATAAAAGTTGAATTATTAGTAACTGATCATATATCAGCTACAGATATTCCTCCTCCTAAATCAGAAGAAATTAAGCAAAACAGACAATTAGAAAATTTGATGCTCGCAGATTTCCCTGATTGTAAAAAACCCATTGCCATTCTAATTGGTGCAGAATATTATTATAACATAGTAATAGGACACATTAAATACTTAAGCAAAAATCTTGTTGCAGTGGAAACTATTTTCGGCTGGTGCCTACATGGACGAAAAGGTGATGATGATGTCTCTTTAGCTTTCAATGTAGTTGTAGGGGAAGATTTGATTTCCAAACAAATAACAAAATTTTGGAACTTGGAAAACTCAGGACTTATTGATAAAACTTCGATGAGGGAAAACTTCGATGCAACTGAAAATGAAGTTGTCGAATATTTTGAATCAAATATAACATCTGAAAATTCTCGCTATAAAGTTAGATTGCCTTAAAAATATGACACATCAAATCTAAATAATAATAGAGAAATCAGGGAAGAAAGATTTTATCGACTTATACAATGATTTTAAAAAAATCCTAATCTATTTTCCGAATACAGGAACGTATTAAGAGATCAGTTACAGAAATTTCAAATGAAGAGGATGTCGTGTTTTACTTACCACATAGGGAAGTTATACGCGAGGATCAAGCTACAAGTAAATTACATATTGTTTATGATGCATCATCGCATGCCCCAGGATCCATTTCTTTAAATGACTGTCTACATGTTGGGCCAAATTTATACCCTGAAATATTCGAAATATTGTTAAGATTTCGGTATAATCCAATAGCTTTCACCGCAGATATAAAACAGGCCTTTTTACAGATTCTCATACATGAAAAGGATCGGGATGCAACCAGGTTTCTGTTTTCCGAATTCTCTAATGATGAAACCATTTCTCCTGACATATATAGGTTCACTAGAGTTTTATTCGGAATAAATAGTAGTCCATTTCTATTAGCCGCTACCATTAAACATCATCTGAAAAAATATAATAAACTTTATCCTACAACGGTTCACTTTTTGAATGAGAACGTATATGTTGATGATGTGATTGGAAGCCAACCAACGATCAATGAAGCATTAACTACGAGTCTAGAATCGGTCCAAATATTTAAGGAAGCAAGCATGCAGCTTCACAAATGGCATAGTAACTCGAGACAATTACATGAATTG